CCCAGAGGATTTATTTAATATAGATGAATTCCAGATAGAAACTTTAGCAGCTGACAACAAAAGACTTCATGAAGAGATTGCAAGACTAGAAAAAGAAAAGGAAAGTGAGCCGGTTAGTAAATTGTGTCTATGCTTGTTTATATGATGGATTTGAATTTTCTATTATTGACCATTATTGTCATTATCAAATGGAGATACTGATGATATATTTCAACAAATAGAAAATTATTTTCAGTGCTCTCTGAGATTTTAATTAGGCCAGATTACTACAGACTCTATACCATTGTAGTACAAGGCATTTACTGTGGAGTCTTCAGTTGCTATTTGTTTGATTGATATTTTGCAGATATTTTCAGGTAATGAGGGCTTGCATTGGATGAAATATTAGTAAAATACTTGAACCACTTTTTTTTCTGAATTTCAATATTATCTTTTCCAAAAGTGTTGGTATGAGAACTTCTTCGCGGATGACAGCATGGGATTCAGTGGTAACAATGTATTTCAGGGAAAACGCTTTGTTTGAAAAGATGTAATCTGCTTTCAGTATGTCATAAGTTTAAAAATGGTTTAGTGGCTGTGCAGCTGGCAAATTGAGATTCCTGCCTACTGTGCAAAGTAAGTATGCTGCGCAAAGCAGGTATGCTGCTTGTATTCCCAGCTTTCCTTGCACTTACTTTTATCTGTCCTTAGTGTATTATTATACTTAAGTTGTGAATTACCTGTAGTAAGAACTTTCTTAATGCAATGCCTAATGCAAATCAAAGACTAAATGCTGAAATGCAAGAATTAAGGTACAAACCATCTTTTCAACCTTTTTTGTTATTTTTAAGATGCTTAACTTGATTCAGCTGTCAGAGATAAAAATTATTGAAGTCTTTTTTTTGTTATTTTCAAGATGCTTAACTTTATTCAGCTGTCAGAGATAAAAATTATTGAAGTTCTTTTATATCTATACTATTGAAGTTGATCAATTACTTTATTGTCTTGTCTGGAAAGTAAGATCATTATTTTAGAGTAATATAATGTGGTTGTTCTTTCCATCCATTTACTAGGATCGTAGAGTATCACTACGAAATGTGAAATCATCTCTTCAAGCAGATGTCCAGAAATACCAGGCTTATTTGGCTAATCTGGAATCTCATATAGCCATCCTTGATCAAAAAATGGAAGGTGTTAATGAGGAAGTTGAGACAGCGGGTAAGAAAGTCTTGGTCACATGGCATACTGAAGCTAGAAATAGGTTTAAAATAATTGTAATTCTCAGCTTCAGGACAGAGTGAGATACTTAGTGTATGATGATGCTACAAATAAACTTTCCAAAATGGATTACTACTAAAGAGATTTTTTTGCCTGATAGCTGTTTGTGTACTAAAGTAATGAAGTACAGATATTATTTACTCATAAAAATACAGAGAGGTTAGGTTTAACTGTATAGGCCGGTATTTTACATCTATTTCACAAATGTTTTGTGAACTTAGAAATGGAAGTAGAAGCAATGAAGCAGGAGAATGCCCGGCTCCAGCACATCTTTGATAACCAAAAGTACTCAGTTGCGGACATTGAGAGAATAAATCATGAGAGAAATGAGTTGCAGCAAACCATTAACAAACTGACTAAGGAAGTGGAAGCAGAAGAACATCAGCTGTGGAACGAAGAGCTAAAATATGCTAGGAATAAAGAGGCGGTATGTGAAAACCCTACTACACTGAGAAGTGGCTATCAGTTTTCATCATGCAAGCTTATACTTGGGACTTAGACGATTTTGTTAACTTCTTTCCTAGATAATCTTAGAACAGCATAGATATTTCTTAACAGCTAAAGTGACAAGAATGGCTTCTGTTTATAATCTCTGTGAAAAATGTTTCTTTTTTTCCTATTTTCTGTTTTGAGCATAATGACAATGTTTGTTTGGTTTTTTTTTCTGCATCATAAGGGACATAGCTAGAATATGCACCACTGTCAGCTCTCACTGTTAAAGCGTCAAGAGCTTTGATAACGTTAGCTTGAAACTGCTTTGATAACACAAGCAATTTCAGGCTAATGTTAAGATTTCACAGCAAGGAAGTAATGCAAAACTAGTGCTTCGAAATCAATATCTCTGCGTGCATTTAGGGCCAGATTGGTCCCTTCTGTAGAAGTTCTAATAGATTTTTTTTTTAAGGGCTAAATTCAATTCCCTCAAACAGAACAAAAAGAAGTGGTCCTGTAAGTGGTGGGATTTAAAAGCTTCTGCTTTGCTAGATGGAGAGCTAAAAGAAAGTTTCAAATACATTTTGCATTTGGCAGGATTACACTTTATCAAGCAGTTGGTATTAACTTAAATTCCTCATACTGTGCAAGTATGAAGCACACAAAACTGGAAAAAATCCTTCTGTGTGGTGTTTGCATAAAAATGGCACTCACTAATCAGAACAGAGCATTTAATAAGCTTTGTCTGCAGGTACGCTCAAGTTAAAGTTTGTTATTAGGCTGTGTGGCTGCATAGCATTTCCTGTCAAAACCAATCAGAGAAGGCATATCAACACGATGACTGATTATTGTTTTAGTTATTTGTATTGTTTCCAAGCATGTTTTTCTTTCCCAAAAAAAAACTAATCCTCAAAAAATTGAGGCAGGAAAAAAATATGGCAGATGGGTAGGGAAAACCACAGGTTTTCGTAAAACAGCACTTAATTCAAACAATGCAAACTGCTGGCCTGTCCATACATACAGCTCTTGCATACTGTGGAATGACATGGAACCACGTTTGTACAGAGCAACTCGGAAACCTGTTTAAAGAACTACAGGAATACTTTTTGCAAAGCTTTTCACTTGTATTTCTTCTACAATTTTTGCCCTTTTCTCCTCTGAACAGATTGAAATGCAACTGGCAGAGTACCATAAACTGGCTCGAAAGCTGAAATTAATTCCAGTAAGTGCTGAGAATTCCAAAGGCCATGACTTTGAGATTCAGTTTAATCCTGAGGCAGGACCAAATTGCCTAGTCAAATACAGAACTCAGATCAAGGTAAGCAGAGTCAACACTGAATGTTTCTGTTACCACTTGCAAAAAAAATGTGTTTCTTTGGAAATGTGGGACAGGTATCTCTCAGCCTCTCCATGAAACTTCATTGAAAAGCTGGTGTGATGCAGTGCCTTAACTCATTATAGCATAGGAAGGAAATTTGGTATTGGAGGGTACAGCAGCCTAAATAAAAACGGGAGAGGGAAAAGATGTACTGGGGTACATCTTCGTTCAAATTAACAAATTGCATTAGCCAGATCTTCTTGTATGTGTATTACAGGCTCCCCTTATGGAGATCATAAACCAGACTGAGGAAGAAATTAGGAAGGCTACTCAACGGAAAATGAGTTTGGAAGATACTTTAGAACAGGTGTGTTGGTTAATGAAGATTGGGACTAACATACTATGTTACTGCTGGTCTCATTTCACCTTTTGCATGAGTGAAGTGCGGTGCGGTGGGTTAGCTTTTGTTTTGGTTGGTTTTGATGGGGTGTTTTTGTTGGGTTGGGGCTTGTGGGGGGGAGGAAGATTGCTTTAATTATAATTTTGTGAGAATTAGTCTCTTCTATTGGTTGAAATAATGTGTATTCCCTGCATTGAAGATTATGCAGCTTACATATATGTTTGACCATAAACATTGGAAAGATTTGTTTTTAATACGTTGCCCATTCCAGTCTGTTGTGTCACTTACTATCACTGACAAGTTGTCATCAGGAAGATTTTTAGCAATGTTGGGTTCAGGATGGATTGGAAGAATGAGAATTTTATTTCCCCATTCTTCTTCCCCGACTTCAGTTTATTGCTGAGCATGACAGTATATGGTAGGGAATATCCTTTTGGGCAATTTTGATCAACTGTTGTGGCTATGCACCTTCCCAACCCTCACGCCTGCCCCTACCCTACTCACTGAGGGGCCGTGGGAGCGAGAGAAAGCCTTGATGCTATGCAAGTGCTATTCAGCAAGAGCCAAAGCATAGGTGTACTACCAACACTGTTTTAGCCACTTACCCAAAACAAAGCACCATACAAGCTGCTATGAAGAATGTTAATGCCATCCCAGCCTGACCCAGCTTAAATATTTCTGGGCTACCACATGTTGTTTGTGATGGCATGGATTTATATGTTGGAATTATTTTTGATTTATATCTTCTTGGCCATGTTTTCATTCTAGGTGAATGTAATGGTAGTGGACAAGAAAAGCAGTGTTAAAATGCTGAAAGAAGAAGCTGAAAAGCTGGATGATCTTTACCATCAAAAGCTTAAGGTAGAACTTCTTATAGGTTGATGCCAATTTATCCTTAATGATATCCTTATCTTTAATCTCTGTATTTATACGTAAGTTTTTGGTTTCCATTTTTGTTGTTTGGACTTCTGCCCTTGCCTCCTTCCATTCCTCTTGCAGGATTCTCTCATTCGTTTCAGAAATATTTGGGTGCTACCTTAAGTGCATCAGTTTTCACTTTCTTGTAAGAGAATCTGGCATCATACTTTGGCAGATCCTGTAAATCATAAGCTACTACATCCAGTAATAAAAGCAGTGGCAATCACCTCCTGACCTCAGGATGTCTCAAAGCATGTGTTTCAATGAGATTTTAGAGTTAACAGTATCTGCCTTGTCTTTTCAGTTTTTATATAATACATACACTTGCAGTTTTTAGTAAACGTGTTTAATCACATTAAAAACTATGGAAAACATTATCTGACTAAAAACATATTAAATGCTTTAATGAAATAAAACTGTTGCTTTCTTTTTCTTCCCCAGTGGGGGAGCAGTCCCTATCCTTTTCCTCACTTCTAGTTTAGCAACAAGATGTAGCGCTCAGTTAACAACTAAGTGGCTGCTTCAGTACCTCCTAGCCTCTCTAACAGCATGGATTTGGTGGGGCTGTGGTGCCCAGGAGAATAATGCTTTTTGAACTCAGCTAGTGTTTAACAGATCTACTCCTTCAAATAGAAACTTTTCTGCTATAACCATGAAACGGGGTTATTTCATTGCTCATACCTGCTTAGGGGACTGAAGGCAATTCATTTAGTTTATTGTTTTCAAAACCACCTGAAATTTAACTTTTGATCTGTGCTGTGGCAAATGCATTTCTCTTAAGGTGAGCTCATCAAATACTCAGTTGCACCTGGATGGTTATAACAAGGCATAGTTGTAATAACATGTAATTCCTCATGTAATTTTTAAAATTCTATTCATAAGACTTCAGTATTAAAATTACTTTTGAAGGACGATGTTTCAGTAATTTACCAGAATTGCATGTTTAGTTGCTGCTGGAACTTAGTTTGGTTTTGTGCATTCAGTTGTGCTAAGTCTAGTGTCAACAGTGTCATCCTCCTTGGAGAGATGATTACTTACATTTGGTACTCATCTTTCTGACACAAAAGGGAAAAGCAATTTTCTTCCTCAAATGTGATTTTATTTTTGTAACCTAGAAACAGTTGTTCATGATGTTCCATTTCTAATATTTAAAGTACGTAAATAACACTTTCTGAGATGAACTTTGAAGGGAAAATAGCTGCCACACAGACCTTGAAATACAGTTAGAGAAAAAAAGGGAAGGTTAGGCTGGTTTTGGGTGGAAGATGATATAGAAAATCCCTGAAACTTGAGGTTTTGGGGGGACGTCCTTTGAGGGTTTTTTTTTTTGTTTTTTGTTTGGAGTTACTTGTGTGAATTCTGAATTCAAGTATCAGCACGTAATCAGGTAATATAAAAGAGAAAAAAAAAAATCCTAATTACTCCTGAGTTATGCAACTTATTTTTATTTTTTTTTTTCTTTGTTTACAGGAAGCAGAAGAGGAAGAGCAAAAATGTGCAAATGAACTGGAATTGTTAGAGAAGCATAAACAATTACTTGAGAGTGGTGTCAATGAAGGTCTCAGTGAAGCCACAAATGAATTGCATGATCTTCAAAGACAGTAAGGCCCATAACTTCAAGTTGTGTAGTTTATTTTGGGTTTTATGTGTTTTAAAGATAAAGACATTTTCTTGAATCCTAATGTAAAATTATTTGGTGAGCAGGTATCCATCTCGGTATATTAATTTCACAAATTTACAACTGAAAGATGTTTGTCCTTGACACTTATTTTGCTAGAACATTTGTCTGCTGTATCAGAAGTCCTGTTTTCCCTGTAATTTTTTTCATATATATGGTTGTAGTAAGGAAATTAGTTTGTTTCCAAACTTATGTGACAACTACATTTTTATAGCCTAAAGTCTGGAGAGACTATTCTGACTCAAGGTACTTTGTTTCTTATAATACGATCCTTTTTCTTCTAAGTTGAGTATTAATATACAAATCTAACTTGGTTCAAGTCAATACTAATAGAAGAAATTATGGCTAAACACGAGGATATATCGGACTTGGTGAAGTGATTGTTTCAGATGTCAGGAATTTTGTAATTACAGACATGACTTTCTGAGTGTCTTTACTTTTTAGATATCAAGTTGTTATGCAAACAACAACAGAAGAGACCAGGAAAGCTGGTGATAACTTGAATCGTCTTTTAGAGGTGATTGCTACTCATGTAGTATCTATAGAGGTAAGCTAAAATTCGATATTCAGAATTAAATCTTTCTGGAGACATTTGCAACTGCAGTTAAACACATGGCAATCAGAACTTACTCTTTCCAATAAAGTACCAGTTATTTAGGGCTGCTGCACTGAGTCTGTAGATTCTAGTTAAATAAATTTGTTGAAAAAACCTTTGGTATAAATCATTAGAATTGATCATTAAAATTCAGCAGTAACAGTATGCCAGGTTTAATCTGCCTCTGGTAGACGAAGTCTTTAACTGAAATCACTTAACTTGTGCAATGACTGCTTAAAATGCTTTAGTGGAACCAGTACAATAGAGACCATGATAGTTCTAATAAACTTTCTATAACTCATTTCTAGAAATATCTTGATGAACAGAATGTGAAAATTGACAGAGACTATGAAGAATTCATGTCTGAAGATCTATTGTCAACCTTGACTGGAATTCTAGACAGTTACAAAAAGAAGGCTGAAAGTTTGTAACTACCAAAAAGGTGGAAATGAAAACTTTGCATTTCTGAAGCTCTCCTATGGTGCCTTCTAAAAGGATGGGTACTTCCTGGGTTTAGCAGTGAAACTGTTTTTAAGTGTAAGGAAATGTTTATGAACTTTCTTTGGTTTATTGACACAAATACATTAAAGAATTAAACAATATATTTGCATTTTCTTAAAAAAGGCTTTGCTTACACTTCCTCCTTGCAATATGTTATAGATGATTACAGACATCTGTGAGAAGACAACTGTGGAACAACTTAATTTCATTTTTTTCTTTATAATCAAATAATTTGTGGTCTTCTAGGAACATTAGTAAGACAAATGCACAGTTAACCTGATAAAATAACAAGCCAGAGTGGACTTAAAGATGGAACTGCAAGTGACAGCACAAATGCTGAGGGTACTGACAACTTGACACACTGCTACTTAAAAATAATCAGGGCTTCTTGCAAACCTGTAAGATTGCTGAGAAAATAGTTACGCTTTCCTTTCTGGAGTATAGTTTGTGCATTTTGTAGTATACGTATGTATTTAGCACACGTGCATCATAGTACACATCGTTCCCCAAGCCTTTCTTGTAGTAGCAAGACCAAATGTAAGTGTCTTTCAGTCTCCTGGCTTGTTCAGTTATCTGTGAAACTACTCAGAGACCCCTCTTACGTGAGTAAGATTTTTTTTTTTTTTTAACAAAAACATCTTTGAAAAGATCCGTAGTAGTTATACAGTAGTCTTGTAAATAGTCTAGAGAAAGAAAGGTAGGTAGTTTGAAAACGAAGTTCTGTCTATAACTGCTCATAGTCCCAGACGAAACCTCACTGTACTTCTTGAAGATGTATTCCAGAGAGAGCTCTAAGTAGGACAATGTATGAATTCTGGCAATAGAGCTCATCAGTTGTAGATTTGGCTAATGTTGGATACATAAAAATGGTCTGAAATGAGTCTGCGTTCTTCTTGTTAGACCAGTAGGACAGATTATTTGATTTTCCTTCTTCAGGAAAGTAGCAGTAAAATTAGTGTATGGGGAGCTCCAGTCCAAATACATTGAAGAAAATGTAACCCTATCTCTTGAACATGTACGTCTTTGTTCAGTGCTATGTGGAAGTAGTCTCTTATCTACTTTGTATATAACTTTGTGGTTAAAAAAAAAAATAAATCAGCATTTATGTCTTGGATAGTTTAGTTTATGATGGTATTTCCTAATAAAAATATTTGAGTGTTTTTAAGAGTTCAGTGATATTTATCACTGATTCAAATATACAATGATAAAACCAACTTTGCAGTCTGTTTAAAACTTATTAGCAGCCGATAGCTAAATGAAGTTGCTACTTAATTAAACACAATATTTTGAATGAAAGGCAGATCCCTAGGATATACAACAAAACTTAACTTGGACCATCTGAACGCACACTGCAACTAACAACTGAACTGCCTTTAATTCTAGGCTATTTTTGCAGAGCATATATAAAGCTCAGTTGTCCTTAGCATAGTGTGTGAATCTTCTGGCTCTGGTATGAGTATTTTGTTTCAAATATTATGATAACGATGGCATTATTTAAGCTTCTGACTTTCAGTTCTTTTGTTGTACACCACAAGTTTAATTTGACAGCCATAAAAGTTTTCTGACAGGTAGGTAGTATTTCTGCTTTCTTCTGTTGTCCTCTGTCATTTTACCTTTACAAACTCTTACTTTTTTTTCTGTAACAGCCTAATCCTTATCAAATCTCAGTTCCTTCTCCTTAGAAACTTTTTTCTTTTGTGATTTTTCTAATAGTTTTGTTATCTAAAGCAATATTCTTCTAATTAAGGAAAACTTAAACCATAAACTGTGAACCATACAGAATAATCAAGTTCCTTTAAAATATGTGCTTATTTAGGGGCTACGCTCCCTCTTGGCTGTCTCTGCTTCTATAACTGACTGTTCTTGTGTGTTTGTTAGTATCTGCAGGTTCTTTGCCATGTGGACTAAAGCAATTTTCTTCTAATTAAGGAAAACTTAAACCATGAACTTGATTATTCTGTATGGTTCACAGTTTCTTTAAAATATGTGCTTATTTAGGGGCTACGCTCCCTCTTGGCTGTCTCTGCTTCTATAACTGACTGTTCTTGTGTGTTTGTTAGTATCTGCAGGTTCTTTGCCATGTGGACTAGTCAGTTGACTGAGTAAATAAAAGCAAAATAAATGTCATTTCCAGAGACTAATACTAACCCAATGGTAATGGTTTAAAGAATCAAGGTCGCAACGACCTTCCTTCATGTACTGGCAAATGTAATATTCTGAAATGAAAGTAGCCTGAGTAATAAAAACTCCACATTTGTAATGTTGGCCACATGTTTTTCTTAACTGGGCTGAACTATTGATCTGGATGTCAGTTAAACTGAATTGACTTTAGAACCAGCTCAGGCTTTGACCTAGGTTCTGTAAAATACTGTGGGGATTTATGTTGTAACATAGATTAACATCAGCTGCTGCTTGCTAGGTAATATGTCTTCGCATTTTAAAATGGAGGGAATTTTTCAGTGCTTCTTGAACATGGTTCCTGTGTGATATTTGAAGACAGGTAGTCCGTTATGTCTGATTTGTATCCTGGAATGCGGCTTTTAAATTTAGACAATAGACACTAGAACACAATTACTGCTCTTGATTTGGCTTTGTTTCCTTTTTCACCAGAATGTACCACTGGCACCTCCACATTTCAGTAGTATGAGTCGTTTGTAATTTTTTTTGGTTTTTGTATAGATATAGTTCCCTGATTTATTGCTAGTGTATCTTTTGTACAGTTTAATATGCCTTAAGTTTATGTATTTTTATACTCAATAAAATTTCTTAAACCTGTTTCTCTGAAGGACAGATTCTTACTGCAAGTATAGAAACATGACATATAAAGCACAATTAATTTGATTTTCCTGGAGGAACTAGGTGATTATCTTAGGGGATTCATATGTGCTATGGTTGCTATTAAATGTGCATTGTGCAGAGGAAAAATAAATATAGAAATATGTTTCATATAAATTGCAAAGGAATAAAAACTGTCTTAACCTTTTGAAAAATAGATGGCTTTTTAAAAACTCTAAGGAACAGAGGTCCAAGCTACTTTGACAACTTGATTTGTGTGCATAGAAACGCGTGAAGGAATGTCCCGCGTTAAGGAACAGAAGGAGCACGGAAGACTCTCACAGCCCTTGGTGCCCTCGCTCGATGAGGGACTACTGATGCCATAGCCAATGTCCTTTCTTAGGGAAGCACACTGACGTCTTCAGTCCTGGAGCAGGAGATGGGCAGAGACTGATCAGTTAGCCTGAGAAAACTTCATTTTGCAGGCTCTTTCTGTAGATCTTGATTAATTTACGGATTTTTCTAGCAGATGTCAGTTTGCATCGATACAACAGCAAGATCTGGCAGAAGAGTACCTGCATGCAGTTTTGCTGCCTGTTTTTCAGATTTGTAGATAAAAAATTTACTGGAGGAATAAAAGGCAATTGTTACTTATCACAGGTCAGGCAACAGTAATGATTGCCAAGCAGAGAAAATAGCCTAGATCATTTATTGCTCACACTTGAGACTGTCCATGGTACTGGTCTGACCACAGGGTACCACCTAAAACGTTGCAGATGCCGGGTCTGTTGTGCTCGACTCCCCGCTGGAGAGGGAACCTCTGGTGAACCCCACTTCCTAAGGGTCTGCCAGTCCCAGTATTTGCCCGAAGTGGACAGGATCTCACGTCTGTCTACAGGATGACTGACTGTTGTCCCTCCGCTCCAGAAGTCCTTATCAACAGCTTTGCGATAACAAGGAGTCTTTGATGTGTGGTCTGTATGGTGTCTTCCCTAACACCTCATGTGTGAGATCACAGTTTTCAGTGGCAGTGTCTTATCTGGTCAGTGTTTTAGTCTTAGAACCCTTTGCACAGGGATCGGATTTACAAGGCACAGGAAATTGTCTGTTATTCCAATTCCACCTCCAGTGAAATATTTACCAGTTTGGCAAGACTCCAAAACAGAAGGAAAGACAGGTGGTGATGAAATGCTTATAAATATTTTGAAACAGGCAAGATGTATGGAATTTTCTTTCACTTTGCATACCAGGATTCAGAACACTGAATGCCTCTGTACCAGTAGAAATCACACAGCCTTTTGGAGAACACTGAATGCTAGCACAGTCACGCATGACCACCGGTGCACCCAGCTGAAAGGAAAGTCCTTCACTATTCTGCCTTGACTAGAGCAGCTGGAGTTACCAGTTCTAATTATCTGGCAGGTCTTAATTAGCAAGGGGCATTGCATGAGATTTGAAGTGCAGAGCAATGGGCTCCGCTTGATTAATACTGTATAGTGACGTTGTCCTCTCCCACTCCCAAGGGTTTGGCCATCAGTTGTAAGAAGGTCACAAGGAAAGCTGTAGAGCCGAGTCACACAAGGTGAGAAAGGGGAAACTACAGCCAGAGGTTGTACTGTTCAGAGAAGTGTAGGGTTTTTACGAGGAAAACCACCAACTTGAAAGATATAAAATTGTAAAGGAATAAACAGGAAATCAGAGAATGGCAATTGAGCATCCCTGAGGGTCTCTACCAGAAACCAGCAAAGATCAACCTTTCCCACCTGACCGATTACTCAAGATATTCCTCAGGCGTTTTATCGTGGGTGCTGAGCACACACTTAGCCTAGAAGCCGCCTTCTGCTTGTGCTATAACAAAAACTCTATGATACTCATCTACAGAATCTCTGCATGGCAAAAGATGCCCACAGTGAGAAAGAGAGGGCAATGGTTACTGTGTCACCATCCCAAAACCCGGAGCATGGGGCAAGGCCATGCAGAGACATTGACATGACTCAGCAGTCGCCCAGTCTTGCCTGGCCTTGGCCTATTGGCTTGGACTCCATGGTGTGACGCTGCTCCTGGCGCTGGTGATGAAGGCATTCCTTGGTGGCCAGGAGAAAGCAGCCAGGGTGAGGGGAAAAGTGAGACAACAGTGCCAAAAGCCATGGTGATGGGCAGAGTAAAAGAGGGAAGCAGCCTTTCAGAGAAGCAGCAAGTAATAAGGATGCTCAGCTACAAAAAGGCTGGATGATAAGTAAGACCATGTAGCAGCAATACTGACTTGAATTGAAAAGCATAATGTCCCACTCATGTAGTAGGACCTTTTCTATGACAACGTATTTATGAAGTT